ATGTGACCTAGGCTCTATACCAACTTGTCACGATCCAAAATCTCATATGTCGTGATGGCGTCTATCGCAATACTAGGCAAACCGACAACTCACAAATAACCATGCAGCTTTAATTTAAAACATACCGAAACAAGCTTAAATGGTGGAAATCTCATAATAACTGATAAGAAAACACCGCAACTCAATACGAAATCCCCCAAAATTTTGGTGTCATTGAGTACATGATCATCTAAATGACAACATAGTCTGACTACTAAAACACTGTCTAGAATGATATAACAATACAAATAACTGAAAAAAGGAGAGTCAAGGTCTGCGGACGCCAAGGCAGCTACCACGATAGTCTCCAAATAGATAAAGCTCCAAAGCTAACCACTGTCGCACCCAGAAGTACCTGGATCTGCACACAAAATACAGAGTGTAGTATGAGTACAACCATCCCAATTTACTTAATAAGTATCGTAAATAAACACAGAAAGGTAAAAAAAGCATAAATTATTAATGATACAAGCTATCACCTTTGTAGTTTCATATTTTAAACCGGTACAGAACATTTGAAAACTAACTCATCAAGTTTCGTGAGAAAGCATTTGTGTGTGTATGTGTACAGTTTCTCAAATACTCTGCTCAGACAATATCACGGCATATAGAGGTGATATGCTGTTAAATAAGATAAATGATCAAGGAAATACAAAATCCAACAAAACACTGGCCAGATTCGCTCAACTTTTTATATCTATTCCTAACCAATGATCAGTATTCTCAATAACCATGTGTACACCATCAAGAGAGAAACATGAGAGGGTGACCCTAGGGGGATGGATCCGTATCCACACGCTGTACGGACAACTCACGTGCTAATAATAGAACCCGCACAGACAACTCACATGCCAATAATATCAATATATGAATCCGCACGGACAACTCACGTGCTTCATGGACAACTCACATGCCAATAACACAGTCCGCCTGGTATGCTCATAGGCACAACAACACAATTCGCCTGGCATGGTCACAGGCCTCCAGTCCAAACACATCATAAAGGAGAAATTAAACAAGTATACATGTATGTGATGAATGAATAGCAATTCTCATGCTCCTGGACTGGTATAAATGACATGCTATAGTGAGCTATCATAGCTCAAATCAGTAATTTCATTACTGAAAAGCATTTATCAAGTTCGTTCAGGGATTAAACCTCTATGTAGCCTCAAACATGGCTCAAATAGTTCACACAAAATTTTACAAATACGAGAAATATCATAGCTTAAAGATTAACAATCAATCCTAGGCTTATAAGAGCCCGTGCACAACCCGAACATGAATAAATGACCCCGGTGCCCGCACATGGGTTCATCCCCATGCATGTGCGCACCCAATAGCACGTAGCTATCACAACAATTCAGGCAACTAGTGCCTTATCCGAGTTTAAATAAGATACTTACCTCAAGCAAATCAAATCATTCTGCTAGCAAGCCCTTCCCATGCGTATCGACCTCCGGAAGGCTCGAATCTAGTTAAAAATAATGTAATACTATCAACAAAAGCAATAGAAATTGATTCCAATTAACAAAGCTACGATCTTTAACTAAGGTCAAAAGGTCAACCCCGGATCCAAGTCTCAAAATCAGACAAAATTAATAAAATCCTAATACTCATTCAACCGCGAGTCCAACCATACCAAAATTACTCAATTCCGATCATAACTCGACCTTCAAATCCTCAAATTAAAGCCTATGAAGTTTCTACAATTTTCTCTAATTTTTCCAACCCAAACCACTAATTAAATGATAAAAATAATGATAGATTCATGTATATTAACCAAATACGAGTAAGAATCACTTAACCCTATCAATTCCTTGAAAATCCCACCAAGAATTGCCTCAATCCGAGCTCCCAAAGTCCAATTATAAAATTTTACTCTAACCCTCGTTTTTGAAATCCTATATTCTGCCCAAATGTCCTCCTTCGCGAACGCGGAAAGTCCCTCATGTTCGCGAAGCACAAAACTCAACTGCCCAAAAAATCCTCTTACGCAAACGCGATGTTTCACAGAGATCTGCCTATGCGAACGCGTCTCCCTGACCACGAACGCGTCCCCCTGACCACGAACGCGAAGACTTAAGGCCTGGTGCCCAAGCCTTCCTCATCATTCTACGCGAACCTGAGCTCCCTCTTGCGATCGCGATGCTCAATTTCCCCATACCTTCGCGAATTCCAGACCTCTCTCGTGAACGCGTATAAGGAAATCAGCAATAGAAAAATCAACAGTTCTTCAAGGTTCAAAATACGCCGAACATGATCCGAAACACACTCGAGGCCCCCGGGACCTCAACCAAACATACCAATAACTCCTAAAACATCATACGAACTTGTTCAAAGCATCAAATTACATCAAGCAACACTAAAATCATGAATCACGCATCGATTCAAGCATAATGAACTTATGAACTTCTAACTTCCAAAACTAATGCTGAAATATACCAAACCAACTCCGATTAACCCCAAATTTTGCATACAAGTCATAAATGACACAACGGACCTATTTCAACTTCCGGAACCAAAATTCGATTCTGGTAACCACAAAGTTAACTCCCAGTCAAACTTCTCAACTCACCAAACTTTTATTTTTTCAACTTTCGTGAATTCAAGTCGAAATCACCTACAGACCTCCAAATCAAAATCCGGACAAACTCCTAAGTCCAAAATCACCCTATGGATCTATCGGAACCATCAAATCTCCATTCCGGAGCCATTTATACATAAGTCAATATCCGATCAACTCTTTCAACTTAGGCTTCCAACCTTGGGACTAAGTATCCCAATTCATTCTGAAACATCCCCGGAACCAAACCAACTACCCCATCAAGTTACATAACAACAAATGAGCTTGGAATAAGCAATAAATGGGAGGAACGAGGCTATAATATTTAAAATAAACTGCCAGGTCATTACAATTACTGACCTCTACATATGCCAATCAAGTGTTTTTCTATAAAACATTAAAACACATAGCAAAGAAAAATAACAATAGAAAAGAAGTTAAGGCTAAATGTGGTTAGAATGGTATTGTTGGGCTCGAATAGCCTAAAGATACTCAAAACATATTGTGATATTGTTCGTTTGGGCCGAGCTGTATAATGTTTTTCAAAAGACCTTTATACCATTAAGAAATTGAAAAACTATCAGCTATATCCATATATACAACAACAACAACAATAATAACAAATCCAGTGTAATCCCACAAGTGGGGTCTGGGGAAGGTAGTGTGTACGCAGACATTGCCCCTACGTTATAGCTATATCCATTTATAAGTAGATTATTATAAAAATTGGCCAATTCATAAAATATTACTAATATTAGTCAAATGTTATCAATATTAGCCAAGTAGTTATTTGTAGCAAAAAAAAAAGATCAATTATTTGCTTTTTGTTTTGCGTGAGTGTTATTAGAATAGATTGGGTACATCTTAAGGAGTTTGAATCTTAATTTTGGGATGATTTGGTGGAGTTTTTGAGGTGGTTTGAATTGAAAATTCGAATTAGAAGATGAACATGAAAAAGTATGATATGTATATCACATTGTGTATTATTTGTGTATCACGTATGTATCATATTTGTATCAAATGTGTATCACATGTATATTAATGTATACTTGTGTGTGTGATACATGCGTGATAAATGTTTGATAAGAAGAATTAATTGAACTTGATTTTAACTACGAATTTTGATAATGTTCAAATCACCTCCAATTTTTCTCAAATTTTGTATATTGACTCATCTATATGTTTTTAATTAATTTCAACCATACCCATTGAAAAAGGTCATTTTTTTGCTTAGATTTTTGGAATCTTGCATATATTTTTTTTGTATTTCATCACCTTGTTTGCTACCTCATCCATGAATTTTTCTTTTCGTCTTGCATCTAATGTTGTTGATCACGCTTAAAAATATGGAAGGAGATCTCTGCGTGTGATTCTTGGAGAGAAAGAACCTTATTTATTTGAGTTTTTAATTTTAATATGTGTTTGGGTAGTTTTGATAAGTCTATAATTAATGACTAGAAGTTGGTAAGTTGAGACTTATTTGGGACATTTCTATAAGATTCCCTAAGAAATTTCTGCATATGTAACTTTTCAATACTAGGTTAGTAAAACAATTTCATAGGAAGAGACATTCTTACTCCTTGTAAATACCGAAAGGAAGGGAGAACAGAATTATTGGCATAAGAATTTCAGTTTAGGCAATTTTACCGACCAAACATCTGGTAGAGTGTCACTAGTTTGAAAGTTTTTCTTCTTTGGAACTTTAGTATGATTTTGGTGGTATCAAATCCACAAGATTTTTATGCTCTTCATATTTTAATTATGCAGGCATTCTTATCCTGATTTACCTTTTTTCTTCTTTGTAGATACATCATTTCTGTTCTAGCGCGTTGATTGTATAACTGGATAGTAAATTAAAGACTTTCGGCAACTGTAGCAAGAGCTTGATATTCGGCTTTAGAACTGAAATAAAAAATATGAGTTGTTTCTTGGCTATCCATGATACTAAATTAGAGTCAAAAACAACAATTCTCTATAATGGAGCTGCAACAACATGTATCTAGGCAATTAGACCAATCAGAATGAGAGTATGCAGAGAAAATAAGAGGACAGCTTTTCCGAAATAAAACACCACGAGAACAGGTACTCATGACGTAGAGAAGAATATGTTTGAGAGCAAGGAGGTGAGAGAAACTTTTATCGAAATTTAGATGCACAACACATATAATAGGAAATATCAATGCGAGTGAATGTTTATTTGTTTGTCATGACGTAACAGACTAACAAGTTAATTACAATGATTTGTTTGTTAGTCATGACGTAATTACAATGTAATTCTCTAGTGTCATATTTCATTGCAAAGTGTAATTAGGTTAGACGTAATTTTATTTTAAATAAAAGCTAAATTATAGAGAAGGGATAATTTCACACACCTCTTCTGAGGTTTCGGCTTGTAACACATACAGAAGAATTTAATCGCTTTGAATCAGTATATCAATGTGTGTCCCTATCCCCTCTCTACCAACCATTTAGGGAAAAGTGGATCACACTTTGTTTTATCATAGTTTCCATATTAACAGAGCACTTAAAAGTTGATATCCTGAATCCAAATTATTGATGTCATTGACTGGTAGTGGCCTGCACTACATCTTTAGCCGTTAGCTTCCCACATAAGTCAGTAAAACAGATACTGCACAATACAGAACTGCAGGAAAAATTCTACAGTATTAGAGTCATTTATAAAATATACGTGATTCCTTTCATTATAATAATTATTAACAAAAAATTAATTTGTTTTGGTTTCCATTTTCCATCTAAATGAAATAACGAAATTTGAACTCTGGATCGTTCTGTCTGCTAAATTCTATGTTACCCTGTCTTTTCAAGCAAGAACCGAAGACTTGTCACCATTGATCTCTCTTTTTAATTTGACACATTCCATTTGACCATGTTTTGCAACAAGCATCTCAAAGCTTTCAAAAGTATGCTCCAATTCCACAATCTCCTCTTGGACATCAACCAAGGACATGTTCTCCGACGCGATTTGTTCGCTTAACCGGTGGATTCTGTTGAACCCGGATTTAATTTTAGCTCCTATTTCCTCTAAGGTTGAACGTATTGCTGTGTTATCCTCATACGCATTCTTCCATTTCCTCTTCATGGATTGATATCCATCAAGTGACCTCAGTAGTTGCTCAGAAAGTGCCCTATTCCTGTCTTGAAGGGCAACATTCCTTTGTTTTCCTCCATTCCTATTATAGTTCCTATCTTTTTGCTCTATGCAGCATCCATGTAACCTTTCCACTAAACACTCATTCTGCTCTCTTAATTCATTTATAAGATCCTCCATTTCATTCAATTCATGCACATTCTTTGATAACTCTGCTGCCATAATTTCTTTCTCTTTTCCTAAACTTGAACACATGACCTCGAGGCTCTTCCGTGCTACCAAGCTCGCGTTAAGCTGACTCTTTAATCTTTCTTTTTCATCCATCATTGGCTCATGCTGCTTCTTGTCCTTAGGCACATTGCTAGTAAGTTTAATGTCGGTGTAACAACGCCTTAGTTTAGATTTTAACGATCTCTTGTCACCAAAGGATTGACATTTCTGAAATCGTGTCCTAACATTATCCAGAATAGTCATCATCGTCGCCACCCTCAACATTCTCAGGCCATCGGTGCTACCTTTGTTACAAGCATCTTTGTGATCTTGAATTAGCTTTAGCAATAACTTAAAATTGGCAGCAACGCCTAAAAGCAGAAAATAATTGAAAAACCAAAATAAGAAAACATGAACATATCATTAAGTCTACTTAGGACACTGCTTAATGGAGTAGTTGATTAGATGAAATTAACATTTATGTTTTAGCTTTGAACGTTTTCATCTGAACCAATGTAGGCCATGAACTTGAAAATCTCCCACCCCTTCCACCCCCAAAATAGCCACACAAAAAAAAGACACTTGAAAATCTAGGAAAAATGGTGCCTAGCATTTTTATTTCTTGGTTATGAAAATCTTAATTCCATTTTATTTTCATTCAAAACCGTGATCACCCATAAAAACAAGAACGGTACCATCAAACAGAAAAAGAAGAAAATAAACTTAACCACCCCAAAAAGGGTAAAAGCTAAAAACAAAGGAGGAAACGTTACCTTCTAAAGCTGAATCATCATACGATTGTTCTGATGTTGAAGGAGGAACAAAATCATGAAATGAATTAACACGAAGACTACTCATGGTAAACGTCTCAAATATTAAGTTAATTCTCTCAATAAACAAAGGTAGGAGGGAAATGCTGAAATGAGAAGAAAAGAGAATTCTTGTAAAAACGTCTGTATTAGAGAGATTCAAAGAAGAGAGGTTTCTTTGCAGGCCTTCTCTCTGTTCCTCTCTTCTTTCTTAGCTTTTTACTTCAGTCCTTTATAATTAATGCTTCTTAGCCATCTTTAATTTCTTCTCTTTAATATTCAAATGAATTTGTTGGTGTTAGATCATCAGAAAATGGTTGGCTCAAGAAAGTTATTGTTTGCTTGATTGTTGGTAATTCTTTAACTTATTCATTGGCTCATTGTTGCTTTGACTTCTGTGCACAAAAGTTCGCTTCATCTTATGAGTCCATACTTATACATTAATTTATTTTTTCCTTAGCCCGTATAATATGAAGGATTTAAACTGTATCTCAAAGGAAGATTGAAATAGCAAAAATGTCCTTATTGTTATAAGAAAAATCAAATTATGGTGAATGTCTACTCTTCCTCCGTGATCTTCTCAAATGCTTAATGACATATTCAATGACATATTTCTATGCTTAATGATATATTCAATGACATATTTTTCTTCACTTTTCATGCCTATATAAAGGCCTTGTAATAGATAAGAAAATATACACAATTGAAGAAGAAAATCTCTTCCTTCTCTCTATCTCTATTTCTTGTTCATGTTTTGCTAAATTGCTTTTATTTCATAACATGTCTTCATATTTTACTAAATTGCTTTTATTTTATAACACGTTATCAACACGAATTGCTCATTTCATGATCTTCTACGTCAAGACTATGTAAATTATAAGCAGACAATGAGATCAAGTACAATGAAAAATGTCTTGGATGATAATACAAAGATAAGTTTTACATTCATCTAAACTCATTCATATTTTCATATCTTTGCATTAACTTTATGTGCAGTATTTAGTTAAAATATCTTTTTCAATTATATCCGCTGAAATAAAGAACTGAAAAGGTATGTCTTTATTTGCTACATCTCTTATAGGACAAATATAATATTCCAATGTATATATATGTTCTGACCTTTTACATACTATGATAGATAATTATTAAGGTAATTTAGTAATAATATTTTTACCATCACATGATGTATTTCATTGAAAGCAAAATTATCAAATATGTAGGCAATTTTACAGTACCTTACAAATTTGGCATTGGAATATACAATCAATATAAACTCATTATAGTTATAATTTATAATAGTCACAGTTATGCATTAAGCCTTAAATATTTTTGCTGGAAACATAAGGCTCATTCCTCCGTACTGAATTTTTTTGGTGAAGTTCTTATAGTGTTTGAAATATAAGTGGTTATAGGTTATCTGCATCTTTCCCCTAATTAATTTATTAAAATATAAAAATAATTGTATCATTTTATAAAAAAAAAAGCATATATCCTAACTAGCATTTTTGTTGCAGAGGAACTGTTTCAAGATTGAAATAGTTATATATGTCTTCTTGAAAGTTAATTTACTTATGCCTATAATTATGAAGTAATAATATTTTAAAGGCTCGAGTGCGAGTCCTAGTGAATTTTGGCCTATTATGCCAACGATTGAGGGTAAGACGATGGGTTCAAGTCCCAACGCACTATGTTGATAAAAAGACGCTAGATTCAAGTTCCAACGCATTATGACCTAGCATGCCTTTATATGGGTAAGGCATTGGGTTTGAGTCCTAATGCACCATATTGATAATAATAATAA